TACTGATTTTTCCCCACACTAGACTTTCAAAGGAGGGCAGAGAGTGTTTATTCAGAGATCATGAGAGCAATAAATGCCTTAATTCTGATCTGCAGCCAAGTACTGATAGGTGACCCCAACAACTCATATCAGGAAGCCCAGGCTATAACTGAACATTGACCTGTCAGATGGACTTGGTATTCAGACAGAGTAGATCTATCTTCTGAACAGACTTCCAGAGTTACTCTGCCTAGACTTGTTTTATGAATTCTGCTCTCAAATAGATAGTTTGCACTGTTAGACTATCCTATGTCCTAGAATGACCATTTCCAATATTCTTCTCTTCTGAGAACTCCACATCCCTTCCCAGACTTGAGCAATGATTCTGTCTCCTGTTTCACAGTGAAAATAGATTACTTGGAAAGGATGGCCTTTCTCTTTCATTCTAGTCATCAGCCATCAGACCTTTTCACTTCACCCTGACCCCAGTCCTTCCCACTACCTCCTGGCGGTTCTCCTATATTACCTTTTCTCACTCCATGTTCTTCTCTCCCTTTATTTAGCTATCCCTACCAGCACACCAATCTATCTTAATATGATCATTTCACCACAATCTGCTCAAGTTCTCTACTTGTTCAAATCAAGGATGTCTTGAAAGAGTTGTCCATACTAAAGTTTCTGGTACATCACTTCCTGTCTTTTCTAATCCCATTTTCGTGACTTGTGCATGTCCACCCTTGCAATGACTGATTCAAGTCAGGAATGTCTGACATCTCACCAAAGCCAAAGACCTTGTTTTCCTCAGCCTCTCAGTGGTATTCCACAGGACTGATAACTTCTTTGGGGAAAATTTCTCTTGACATCCACAAGATCACATGTATGGACTTTTCCTTTTATCTTTCCCTCTTCCCCTTTGTCTTCTTGTTGGCTCCCCCTTGGTCTGATCTCCACAGGCCCTTGTTGGGCCTTCCCCTGGTCTATACTCTCTTACCCAAGCAAACTCACCCAACCTTAAGATGTCAAAGAACAATTTAAATGCTTAATACTCTCAAGTTTACATTTCCAGTCTTGAACTTGTCTGTTTAAGCCTCAGGGTATTATATCAAAGAGGTACATGGGCATTGCCACTTAGATAAAGAGTCTCAAACCAAATTGTATCTTTCCCCTGTCAAATCTGCCCTTGCTCCATTTCAAAAAATGGCATCGTTTTCTCACCAGTAGCTCAGCCCCCATTGCTGGAATCACTCTGGACTCCTTTCTTTCCTTTAGACTTAGGGCTGCTATACCAAATTGTAGAATTAAGTTTTTGTAAGCAGCTGATTAGTATCTCTTGGTCACTGCTGTCCTAAGGGTTTGGGGAAATTGTTCTAAGGAAGAAACCCTTGAGTTGGGACATGCACAACAAAGGAAACAGTTATCTGAGAAAGAGTGTTTCCAGCAGAAGGAAAGGAATAGAAAGGCTGAGAAAAACCAGAATGGCTAAGGGACATGGATGAGTGACCTCAGGGTCTTCACCAAATGTGTCTGATAGTGGAGTGAACAAATGACATTGAGTTCTGCAACCATGATGGAGAACTGAGGGACTCGGGTACTTTTGTAGGTATCAATTCCTTCAGACATTAACTAGAAGTTTGTCACTGTGTGGAGAGGATAAAGTGGTACAATATTGTGTGTTCTCTGGGTCCTGTGTTTGGCGCTGTCAGCTTTGCCCAGCATCAAACCTATCAGAAAGCAGATAGCTCCTGCATTGAAAGCACCCTGGAATCCACAGACTTGGTGTTGGTTTTGCAGTGGTTCTCAGCCACTGGGAGTTTCTCTAAGGAGAATGGGGCACAAACCATTGGTCCCTTCATTGCTTATGATTCTAAATGCTGCCTTAATTTATCAGCTTGCTTGTATTGAAGCCCCTCCTACTTTCCAACTACTTTCTTGTGACTTTCTTCCTATAAGCCTTGAGGCTGGGCATTACAGGATTCCTTGGGTTGTGTTTGTCCTTGGTTTTTACACACACACACACACACACACACACACACACACACACACACACATCTGGATGCAGCCTGCTTGCAAGGAGCGGATCACTCTGGAAGCAGCTTTAATCTGATCGTTAAAAGTCATACATGAGTGCAGAGCAATAGACAGTCCCTTCTATTTGCTTACCTGTCTTTCAAAATAAACACATGCACAGCAGGACCAGTGGAGGTAGATACTTTTTCTGAGATGCATTTGAAAAGCTCGCAGTTCTCCTGCTCTGCATCTCCCCTTTCACATTTCCTGTTGGTCTCCATGTTTCTTTTCCTACCTTGCTCCTACCTCACCCTTCGGTTGTCACTAATCAGCTATCTTATACTTGGATATATGGGGAGATTGTTCTGCCTTATCCATTTAAGTGTTTCAAGAACTCTCAACCTCATCCTTCAGCAAAAGTTCTGTCTTCTTACTCATCCACTCTCATTTCAGTTACCTCGCCTGTGATTAGATCATGCTCCCTTGCACGATGCTTTCTCTGTTTCCCATCTCCTTCATTTATATTTCCATGGGACATAACATAAATGTTCTCATGGTCTTTGAAGATTGATAACTAGTCTAGGTGTGATTTTTATTTTATTTTCCTGCTGGGGATTCACTATGATTCTTGAACCTGAAGATCCATGTCTTCCATGAGGTCCTGAAAATGCTTTCTGTTTTATTTTTCCCTTAAAAATCTTTTGGACATCTTACACATCGAAATTTCTAAGACTTTCATCTTTATCTTTTTAATATAGAGGGCAAAGTATCTTTTCCTCTTCTTTTTTGTCTCCCATCTCTTTTAGCTCTCTGTACTTTATTTAGGGTTAATTTTCCCGGATCCATTTTCCAGCATGTTTCCTGTTGACTCTTTATTTAGCTAGGTTTAGTCTGTGTTTACTTATCTGTTGGATCTTGAACTTCAGCTTTAAAACTTTTAAAGCTGGTAATAATAGCAATTAAAAAGTTGCATGTACTTCTTGAACAAAGTTCTGAAGTGTTTTTAATTCTTTTGTCATGTTTCCAATTCCCACTTATGTATTTTTGGTCTTTGTAAGTATCCTCATTTTAGGCTTTTCAAACAGGAGTTTTTTTAAATACTGCAAGTATTTAAAAAATACTTGGATGAATGGAGTTGAGGCATGGCTCAAGCAATAGTGGCTTCCTAATTGCTGTATTTACTCATCCTAGTTCATAGCAAATGGTTTGGATACCTTATAATTGGGATTATGAGTTTTCTTTAAGGGCTTTGCTCATGTTCATCTAGTACAGGCTATGACTGAGTGTGTGTTCCTCCAGGACATGTCTTCCTGGAGTCATTGCTAGCCTGGGTCACCTTTGTTTCAGCCATTCATCTAGATGGGCAATGCATACCATAATGATTCAGTTTGATCTTCAGTCTACAAGGCGGGCCTGCAGTTATTTTCAGGATATTTTTCCCCCACAACCCTTAATGTGATCCAGGATGAGGCAAGGTTTTATTTATTTTTTTCTTTCAGGAATAAGTGTGCTGAAGACTGACCCTACAGCCTTGTATCTGATAGGCAAAATAGGCTCTCCCACTGATCTATATCCCCACCCCCAGACAATTTTTAAAATTCTCTCCTTTCTCCTATACTCCATTCTTTCTCAGTAGGTGAGTTTTAAAGTGTTCTAGCTTTAGATAGGAATCTCTGTTCCCATCATGCTGCTTACTCTTTATGAAGTCTTGTAGCTTCTTCCCTAACCACATAAATGTGATCTTCTGAATCTCATGTGACTATGTCTGGCAAGTTTTCCTCCCCATTTGGGGCAGTAGCTTCCATCCAGATGATTCTGGTTTCCAACTCATCCTGTGTGTTGACCCTGGAGAGTTCCTTACTCTCATGAACTCAGCTAAACATTTAGGGCAACGTTTGGTACATTTTACTCACAATTTCCAAGCTTTCAGTAAAAAAAAATCAATATATTTAGTCTGCCAAGAGTATATCATCACCATCTTGACAGAATTTAAATGTCTACTAGTGGGTGGAAGATGCCTGTCTACATTTAAAGGGAAGGAGGGGGCTCTGCCCTTTCTTAACTGATAGATTTTTTTCTAACTCACTCTGAAGTTCTGAGGACTGCTCTTTCAGCCATTCACTCAATCCTTGCATTCACATTTCATTCAATAAATATTTAGCAAGATTCCACTCTCCAGACATTCATTCATTTAAAAACATGTATGATGTATGACAAAAAACATGTATGACATCTAATGTAAGACAGGTGCTCTGGCTCAACAGGAAGAGACAGAAATATTGATAAAATATTGATTTAATTTCACAGAGTGGGAAAACAGTGATTTGTGCCCAGGCAGTCTTGCGTGTTTGTCACTTAATTGACAAATATTTGTGTACATTCTATATTTATGGGGTATAAGATTATATTTCTCCATTGTGTAGTGACTTAATCAAAGTCTTCAACAGAATCTATCACCTCAAAAACGTACTACTTTTTTGTGTTGCAAACATTTGAAATCTACACCTTTAGCAATAGTGAAATACACATTCATAAAACATTAGGCTATACTGCTTGTCAATATATGGATGCCCAATAAGGTACTTATATCATCTATAAGTCAAGATATAAGCTTATCCACCTAAAATATGCAAAATGCCATTAGTTATATAATCTGTTTGAGGCAAATGCATAAATTAATGCTGGCTGAATACTTGGCTAAAATTCCTTTTTGGCTTGTATCATAGAAAAGGACAGGCATAAATGGAAGTGTCATTAGAGCAGCATTAGCTTTCATTAGTGGCTTTTAATAAATATGTGCACATTATGAATGTAATTATACCTGTAAGGATGACATGGACTTGCAGTGAAAGTATAATAAGTAAGCAGAATTCACCAGGCTGAAGCCTCTTGCATCTCCCTGCCAAGATATATCATTTGTGAGTTTCATTACCCAATGTCCTAAAATAAGTGACCTTTTCCAAGTCCCTGGGGATTGGCTTCAACTACAGTATGTTTTTCCTTTTCCTTCTCAGGATTTAACAACACAGAGAGAACATGTGACAAAGAGTTTATCATCCGGAGAACAGCCACCAATCGAGTCCTGAACGTTCTCCGTCACTGGGTCTCAAAGCATGCACAGGTAATTCAGAGGCTTCAGTAATTATTTTCAGAGAGTGTACATTTAACTTCTTAATCTAGTCTCTTGATTCTTTGCAGTTAGAGGTTCAACCCTGGAATTGGAAGCTGGGAAGGGAAGAACGGGACAGACATGTAGATCAAAGCAACTAAGCATGTCACTGACACCTGCTGTTTCCCATGACATGATATTACGTGTCATGGTGAACCAGTAATACTCTCCCCCCTCGTCTCCCAGGAAGCACCACCTGCCATGCTACAGTGATAGCAGAGTCACTATTGTCTCACACTAGGGACCGATTTTCCAAGGTCATCTCTGTAAGTGAAGTTGTGCTACAGAGGATCTCCAGCTCCACTGGCACCCTTATTCTCCCAGGTGAACATCACAGAATTTTCTGGGAGGTGAACACTACTTGGGGCCCAAAGATAATCAAGCATCTGGTCCAGAAGTGTTTTCTAGACTTTTCTAGACACACTTTCCTGCCTGGGCTGGCTTTGAACCATGATTCTCAGATCTCAGTCTCCTGAGTAGCTTGAATACAGGCATGAACCACCTGTGCCTGGCTGAGAGCTACTCTTTTTAATAAACGAAGGGTTATTACTGAGATATTAGTCATATAGGATCCATTTTTATTTGTGAAGTGTAATGGCATTTTAATAGACTGTATTATTTTCATTTTTATCTATTTTTTCATGTTACTTTTTAAATTCTTTTATTATATTGTTATTATGGAGATGATGTACAGAGAGATTAGTTATGTAAGTCAGGCAGTGAGTACATTTCTTTTTGAACAGTGTCACCTCTTCCCTTGTTTTCTCCCAGTTTTTATCTCCTGATCCCCTATTACTTTTACTTTTAAAACGTTTTTTAAATTCCATATTACTGTTGGTAAGGCTTGAATCTCACTTTTCTCATTGCGAATTCTGTCTCCAATAAGAATTTCAAGGGTGTGACCCATGTGGTGATGTTATGGACTGGGCTGCTGTTACCGAGGATCATGTAGCAGACCTGTGAAGGCCTCTGAGAATATAATGAATGCAGACTAGGGAACTCTGTTCCTTGATCTCTTATAATGTGTGATTTTTATTGTAAAAATTCTGTACAGAGGGGTTACAGTTACATGAGCAAGGTAATGAGTACATTTCCTATGGAGCATTGTTGCCTCCGCTTTTGTTTTTCCCCTACCATCCCTTCCCTCCCCACCTCCACAACACCCCTCCCCACCACTGCCGAAATTGTAAAGTTCATTTTCAACTTAGTGTCTTGTACATCATTGTTACAATGGCTCAACCTGTGTCTTTATTTAAGCATTTTGTTTTTTCCCTTCCCCTCCCCAAATTAGAGAAATGTATACATAAGATGCAGGGGGGAAAAAAAGATGCAGGGCACTGAAATCAAATGCAGTAAAAATAGGTGTTATATGGTGGGGGAGGAACATACCAAAGAAACAAAAAAATCACATAGCACATTATAAATACGTTAAAAACAATAGCAAGAAAGAAAAAACCACTGTGTACCTATCTTGGGGGTCATTTTGCTTAACATCATCTTATATGGTCATATGTACATAGCTTTTGACCTTATCTGCTTGTCCTAGACGTTTACTAGTTATTACAAATAAGGGAAACCATAGGACCTATGTTCCTTTGGGCCTAGCTTACTTCACTTAATATAAATTTTTCCAAGTCTTTCCATTTCCTAACAAATGGGGCAATGTCATTCTTTCTGATGGAGGCATAGAAGTCCATTGTATGTGCATATATATATATATATATATATATATATATATACCACATTTTCTCGATCTATTCATCTACTGAGGGGCATCTTGGTTGGTTCCATATCTTAGCTATGGTAAATAATGCTGCAATAAACATAGTTGTGGTGGTAGCCTTAGTATGGTCTTGTTTGTGATCATTTGGGTTAATTGCCCAAAAGTAGGATTGCTGGATCATAGGGGAACTCTATGTGGAGTCTTTTGAGGAACCTCCATACTGCTTTCCAAAGTAGTTGAACAAATTTACACTACCACCAACAATGCATAGGGTTGCCTTCTGGCCACATCCCCTCCAGCATCTGTTGTTATTAGATTCTTTTTTTTTTTTGGGTCCGGCCATGAGGCCTGAACTCTGGGCCTGGGCACTGTCCTTCAGCTCTTCAGCTCAAGGCTAGCACTCTACCACTTGAGCCACAGCACCACTTCTGGCTTTTTTCTTTTTGCTTATGTGGTGCTGAGGAATCGAACCCAGGGCCTCAGGCATGCAAGGCAAGCGCTCTATCACTGAGCCACCTTCCCAGCCTTGTTGTTATTAGATTCTTGATTATAGCCATTCTAACTGGGGTGAGATAGAATCTCAATGTTGTTTGATTTGCATTTCTTTTATTCTCTCCCCAACTTTTGATGCAAAGTTTTAGCCAGCCTTGCATTCAGGAGGACCTGTCATTAGATAACGAATGCACTAGGCCTGTCCAGAGCTAATAAGATAAAGAGGGAGTTGACTATTTTGCAAAATGTTGTAAACTCTACAAACTTGTACTTAAAGTAATAGGTGGCCTGTGGGTATGATCTATTTAAAAAAGAGTACAATTAAACACCAGAAAACCAGAAGTGGCACTGTGGCTCAAGTAGTAGAGCCTTGAGCTGAGTAGCTCAGGGACAGAGCCCAGGCCCAAAGATCAAGCCCCACAACTGACAAAAAAAAATAAAAAGCTTTTACATCTGCAAAAGTCCCATTGTGAGGTGTGTGTGTAGCAAGGATCTCGGTCTGGGGAAGTCTGTGAATGCTGGAGGGAGAGCAGAAGGTTATATAGAGGCAAGAATAATCTAGCTGAAATCCCTACTCTGGCATTTAATGATGGAGTGGCTGAGCAAATGATTCAGCTCCTCCAAGCCTTAACTCCCTCTATAAAACTGGGAATCACAGCCAGGGACCAGTGGCTCACGCCTGTCATCCCAGCTACTTGGGAGACTAAGCCTGAGAATATCACAGTTCTAGGCCAACTTTGACATCAAAGTTCACAAGATTCCATTGCAAGAAAAAGAGTTATGCACAATGCTGTATGCCTGTCAATCTGGTGTCAGAGGGAAGCATTATCAGGAGGGTTTGGGGCTCAGGCCAGCACAGGCAAAATAAAACTTGCCTAGTAAATGCCAAGCCCTGAATTCAAACCCCAATATCACCCTAAAACAAAAGGAAACAAGATGCAGTGGAGAAAATTGCATGTTGAACTGCTGTGACAGCTGGAAGCCCAAAGGGTTACAGATGGCTGCTCATTGTGGACACAGCTTATAAAGGTACTGTCTAGTCCAAACTCAGATATTTTGTTTCTGTCTGTCCAGTGATCCAGGGAAGCCTCAGTGGGCTTCAGTGAGCGCTGCCCAGTTGAATTTGGAAAGATAGTAGATATGCAGTAGCCCCTACGTACCTATAGCTAATCAGTCCTGGGAAAGGCAGTTATCATGGCTAAACAGGTGAATTTCTGTCTGCAATTTGATTAATGGTGACTAGTGGTCACTGTATGAACATATAGTTCTAATTTGAAAACCACCCAGAAGTCCACCAGGAAACTAGAACCAGTGCTCAGAACTGAGGTCTCCTTCCTCTTCCAGCACTGCCTGACAGGTGGGCTCCACTGGGACTCCTGGGAAGAGGACATAGCTTTGTGGAAGGAAAAGCAAAACCTTGACACAATGTTCCTGCGAGGGACATGCATCTCAAAGAGGAAATGGCAGCTCTTCCCTTATAAGGAAGCTTTCTTATACCCCTCAGTTTGGGCTTGGAGCCTGCAGTCCCAGGTCATAGAGAAGTGACATCCATGCCCTGGTGGCTTGTGGGTGCCTCTGCTTAGCATGATCAAAGATCTGGGGGATCAAAGCCCCCCCAAATGTGAGTTGAGACAGCTCCTCTCGTCTGTTTGTTATTTGACAGTTGAGGAGTCTCTCTTTATTTTATTCTTTTAAAAACAATTCTTGGCATTATTTAGCAAAACACATAATTGAGTGTCACAATGGAGTGTCGAGTTCAGATGTTTTTCCTTGTGCCAGATCTGCAGCGGAGGTTGAGCCAGGACAAACACAGCACAGGTTTGGATGTGGGTGGGAAAATGACATATGTAAGCAACAATCCGCTCCTGAACAGGCAGCGCCTGTCACCTCTACTGACAGCTCGTGGCTGTCTGCCAGCTCGGTCCTGTCCTCACCCCCCTCCTGTCCATGCCTGTGTCTGCCCATCTGCGAATGGTACTTTTCCATCCATATATCATGCCCACCTTTACTCCCAAGCTGAACCTCTGCGCTTCCGTTGCCTGGGTCGACTCAGGGTATGGGGCTCTGACCCCAGAGCTCTTTGCAGGACAAGGGGCTCAGACTGCTGCACTGTGCCCTGCTTCCTGAAGATGCTCAGGACTTTATACTCTCTCTCTCCAAGTCCTCATCCATTTCCAGGGAAATCCCTAGGTCTTTAAGTTAGGGGGAGGAACTATTGAATCTCATAGAATAATCTAGGAGCCAACTGAAGGCTTGATATGGTAGGTGGTGTGTATGTGTGTGTGTGTGTGTGTGTGTGTGTGTGTGTGTGTGTGTGTGTGTGTGGTGCACTAGGGATTGAATTCAGGGCCTTTTAACACTTGCCCTGCAAGCACTCTACAACTTTTAATTTTATTCTTGAGCTAGGGTTTCACCAACTCTGTGCCCAGATTGGCCTTGAATTTGCCATCTTCCTGCCACCACCTCTCCAGTAGCTGGGCTTACACCATAAAACACTATGCCAGATTTATATTTTAGTTATGGTCATACCCTATGGGGCTGTGTAGGTGACTTGAGGACTTATGTATTCATGAGAAGGTAGCTTTCTCTGTGAGAATGGGCCCTGAATGACAGAGACCCATTTTTAAAACTTCAGCCAATATTGTAGCACTGACTATGCCACGGGCGGGCACTACTGTAACCAGGTTTCAAGGGGTGGCTTATTTCTTCCTGGCCACGCCTTTTATGGGGGGAGGGG